AATAATAACAAATAAAAGAAAAGGATACTCACAATCATTCTGATCATTGTGGCCGATTGCTGGTACTTGCAACCTTGAGGAATGTAATAACGGAGCTCTGCAACACAAAGTGAAATCTGTAACAATAATAGTAAATAAAGCCGAACGCAGACTATAGGTCCATATGGATAATCTACATGTTAATGGAGTTACACAGATAATGGTAGTAATGCTGTAAGACATACAAGCACATATTACAAAAAATTGTTATCTCTCTCCTTGAGGATGAAGCGTTAATCCCTCAGACTGACAAGTCTCGTCAGATATCAGTTAAATCTAATTAGTAGGATGTCAATCTTTTTTTCTTGCTATCTACCTGGCTGTCTGTCTTTTTGTGTCTATCTGTGTCTGTCTCCTGGCATGCCCAACCATCAAACTTTCTGTTTAGTTAATCTCATGGTATCTTTGCTTCTCTTTTTTGTCAAGGTGTCTATTTGTATGCTTATCCTCTTTTCCATAATTGTTTGTCTACCTGTCTGTCTTTATTGTCTGTTTGTCTTCCTTTTTGTGTGTCTGTTTGTCTGTCTCTGTGTCTCTCATATATGTAGTATATTTGTCTAACTGTCTTCCTGTCTCTGTGGTTCTTTGTCTACTTGTCTATTTGTCTGTGATGCTTGTATGATTTTTGCTTTGGCTACCTCTCTGTATGTCTGATTGCCTGTTTATTTGTCTGTGATGCCTGTCTACATGTCACTTTGTCTGTTTTATCTGCCAATCTACCTATGTATGTCTATCTGATTATCCGTCTGCTTATCAATATGGCACTGCCTGGCTGCCCTTTTATCTGAAAAACTGGGTGTTATAAGGGCCACCTAACTATCCCAACCAACAATTCTAGACCTTCAACATTTATGTTAATAATGCTACAAACATCAATTTCAAATTAATAGTTACAAATCCATTAACCTGAAAAAAATTGTGTCCTTCAATTTCATTTTTTCACCTATGCCAATCTACCTGACATGTTTCAGTCTGAGCATATACCTATTCTCTTCCAAAAAGGTAGAAAATTTTCCCTAAAAATACTGCTAAATAATGACATGTATAACGAAAAATCCAAACAAAGCTACATGCACATTGACACATAGCCTTTTCTTAACTAATTTTTCCCTAATTATACTAACTGTACTTAGACAAAATTGTCTTGAAACTTGATGTGATCTTTGATGAAAAGATTTCAAATCTTTCAGTAAAATGTAATAATATTCTGCCAGTGATATAAAGATGTCCTATGGCTTTTATTTTTCCTGTGCTTCTGCAAAAACATACCTCCACCATATATATACTCTGACAAGATTGAGCTTACAGATCTCCTTGGTCCTCTATCATTAAATAAGGAACTCGTCCACCCACTAGGCTGTCTTGATAGAATGTATGCAACAGAAGATTCCTAGCTTTTATTTGAGCACCAAAGGCATCGAGACCACTACTAGTGCTTGAGTCATTCCCATTGTATTGGTTACTTTCATCTATCACACCAGGGTATTAACACAGCTCGAAGATATATATGATTTCTCTTATAAGGTCTTAAACAGTAATATCTCATTCAAGAATTAAAAAAAAAAAAACAAAAAAAAAAAATGGTATCCTCCCCCTCCAGGATTTCCGATACAAAGTGAATCCTGTATTGTACGATGCAATTCTGCAAGTGACTGGCGCAGTCAAGGAACATGGCACACAAAATATTTTAGGAGAAAAATCTTTGGTGCAAGGACAATGTCAAATTGACCTTGGTTCCCCTTCCCAAATTAAGAAAAAAAGGGAATATAACAGAAATAAGTAAATGAGGCCTCTTAATCTGCTTTATACATTTTTTTATGCTCCCTGAGAATATCAAGATAAAAAATTATAAGTATATATGAATAAATTTCATGTTATAACATATGTTATTCTGATTATCAAAAGCAAAAAAATACAAAGTAAACTAATTAGAAATCAAAACAAATGAAAAGTTCAACTGTGGTCTAAAAAAATCACTGATTAATATTATCATGATAAATCACATGATAATGTAAAGAGATAATATGCCCTTTGTGATATTGTGACGAAACATTTGAGTCATAAAAAACACTCATTTGTATGTTGTTCTTCCATTTTAATAACATTTCATGTTTGTTTACTAAAATTCCATATACTCTAGATTAACCAAATCAAGTACTAATAACTTTTAAAAAATCGAGTAAATTTTTTCCAACATAAAAAAATAAACAATATATTTTCCTCATTTCTGGGAACTCGGTCAAAAACTTTTACGACATCTACCAGACCTTAATCAGCTGAACATATCTTTTATTCTTTCATAAACTAGTAAACGGCGGAGTAATGAACCATAAAGTAAAAGTACTTCAAGAGTAAATTGGCTTTTCTCACCTGTAGGATGAAAGACGGCACAGCTGATCCTACACCACTCAGCTGATCGACCTTTTACAAGACTTTACTTTAAAAAATAAAAGATAATGTTCGTGTCTATCTATGTGTTGATCTCCTTATATAATTCATAATACTACGTAGATTATTTTGGATATATTTCTATTCACTTGTATAAATCTTCCTTTGTTAATATGAATCTGTGATATAAAGTTGATCGGAAAAACAAAACGTTCCAATAATGGATCAGCTGTATTTTGTAAACAACTTATGGTTTGAATTTCTGTCTTGCAGTCACTTTACACTCTAGTCCGGAACGATTTGTTAAATAACTTACTAAATTTATTAATATATTAGGTTTATTCACTTGAGCAATGATGGTTTGTGTGAAGATGAGGATAAAATATGAGAAAAGCAGAGTAATAATGTCGTTTTTATGAATTTTTGGTATTTAACACGAGACATCTGATTGATTGTCATGAAGGGCGATTTGTATTGCAATTTTAAAAGACGTTGATATTTTATAAATTCTGTGAAACTTACATGAAAATGATGGAAGATTATGTCAGGAAGCTTGACGTGAAGTAAGTATGATTTTGTTTTAAATAAAAACATTAGTTAACACAAGTTTGTTGTGAAACTATAAATTTTTTTACCACAATTATTATTACTTGTTTATCATATATGTCTTTTAAATAAACATCTGAACACAGACGTTACTTATAATGAATATCACTATATTGATTTGCGTTTTCCATAACACACATGCATATAAGAAGTCAGTCATACCTTTAACAGTATTTTATTATTATACTTAAACACTGATTGATGCCCCACTCCCTCAAAAAATAAATAAATAGATAAATAAATGAAAAATAAAGCAGAACTCATATATCGTGTTACTTATCATTATTATAATTTATTAATATTAATTAGCTCTTTTGCCATTTAAAAAACATTGACTTACATCATTCTTACTTCACATCAGAGGTATCCAAAAAGCCTTACAGAATGGCACAAGAGTAGACGCAGACCTCAATGGAAAGGGGTTGACGGCACTTCACTTGGCAGGTGCCTTGACGGATGAGGCTGATTGCATTACCATAGCTGAGGTTTTGCTGTCAAACGGGGCAAACCCAAACATCCAGTAAGTTTGTGTTTTTGAACTCTTGAGAATTGTAAATTATTTGGAAAAATATGAGTGAGAAATAGTAATAGAGTCCACACTGCTTTTATATATATCAATTTTTAAAACTGTCTTGGTGATTTTGGATTAGATGAAAATTTTATTCTGGTAATACTGTATGTTGATTATCTAAAGTATACTTTTATTTGTGATTTAAGATTATGGTTATTCATCATTATAGTTTTTTTTCTGATTTTAATTTGCTCTCTTCTGAAAATATTCAATACAGACTGAAAGCTAATACTTTACTATTAACCTGATATAGAAGTTAAAATGATAGATAACATTTTGTCCATTAGCTTTCAGGGGACAGAGTAACCAACATGATAATTAGGCACATGCATTCTTGCATAGGAATTGCAAAGGAAAATGACTTGAGACCATGTATAGAACCATTTATGACTAAGAAACAAAGCATTATTTCAGAGGGCCGGGAAAATAAGAGGAGTCTTTGGTAATAAGAAACAGATAAAGATATCATACTGCATTGCAATATTATATGCACAAATTTAATGCCACATTTTAATATTCCAGGAACAATTATGGCCAATCCAGCTTACATGTGGCTGCCTCTCATGGATACTGCCGCCTGTTGGAGCTCCTCTTGGTCAATGGCGGTGACCCTTTGCTTGGGGACATCACTGGACGCTCCCCCGTTGACTATGCCCATGAGAAACAGCAGACAGAGGTCGTTGAACAGCTAAACAAACTCCTTGACTCAGAGAACTATGAACGCCCACAAGAAAACAATGAGAAATTCGTCATGGCTTTCTGTAAGTGTATTAATTTGTTTGTAAGTTTGTTTTTTTAATTCAGAAGGTTTTTACATCATCTTTTTTACTTTTTTTTCTGGTTATGGAAAGATTGTTACTTCTTGAGATTATTATATTTTATTGAATAATCTCTCTCTCTCTCTCTCTCTCTCTCTCTCTCTCTCTCTCTCTCTCTCTCTCTCTCTCTCTCTCTCTCTCTCTCTCTCTCTCTCTCCTCTCTCTC